GAGTCCAGGCTTGGGATGCAGAGGGAGGGCGCCAGGTGGCAGATCGGCGATGACTGTGCCGAAAGTTAGTGCTAGCCAGAAACAGGTGGTGGTCTGTGTACAGTTGCAGTAGACGGTCCCCGTTATCTGACCTGCGACCAACGAGTCCCCATCGGCCACCTAAACGACTCTCTTCTGTGCCTAGACGCCCGACCTGAGCATTCAAGTCTCCGGCTAGTACTACAATATCTGTCGAACGCACTTTCTGGAGAATAGTACAAAAGGACAAAACGAAAATATTTAGTACAATCAATCAAAAAAGAGGTCTGACCATGTCAATGTCATGTTACTCCGGTTAAGGTGATTCATACGAAACATATTTGTGTATTTATGTTTGTATGTGTTAATGGGTGAAAAGTCTGACATTTGTAATATGAAAGGATTTACTGGTGAATAATAGTCTGGATGAAGTTCCATGGATTGTCATTGTAGTTTTACCATACCATTGTGGTAGAACAGAACTCTGAAGAGTCTCAAAGCGACACTGAATGCTACATAGTAACTAACACCCTTTGAAATGCTTTAGTTCGTATGAAGGATAGGATTCCCTTTATGTCAGAACAATTGTGTCTACAAACTAATGTGTGTCGATTGTGATGCCTTCTATATCGGTCATCTTTTGAAATTTTAACTCGAGCCAAAGAACAGCTTCGGCGGAAAAAATAACCACTTGATAATCCTATAGAACTTGATAAACTACAAATTAGATCGGCAATAGCGATGCATGCCATTTTCAATAACTATCAATTCAAATATCGAAATGATACAAAAAGGGTTTTGTAACTATAAAAGGCGAACAGCTGACGCTTTCCACACACTACTAGATCCTACTGCCCTCAATAGATAAGGTCTTACTATTCGTCCGACTTGGACCATCTATCCGAATCACCATGTCTGATTCCATTCACATTTCATACTGTTATTATACATAGAAATTCAACTCTACCCTTTAAAATTACAAATTTCACATTTTTCACCTATCAACACATAAATACCTAAACATGTCCCACATAAACCACCTCAACCGGAGTAACATGACATTGACATGGTCAGACCTCTTTTTTGATTGATTGTACTAAATATTTTCGTTTTGTCCTTTTGTACTATTTTAAACGTTTGTTAGCTTAATTTGTTTAGTTATTCTCTGAAGAAGTGGCTTATATTGAGTTATGAAACGTTAGAAAATTTAATTTTTCTACTCATTGGAACATTACAAATGTATGATACATATTAACACTTCAGCTTTGTTCACTTACATACAAAGCAATTAATACTGAAAAAAGACTTTAGTATTTACACTATGGAGTTTGTTCAAGGGAAATTTCCAGTAAATGAAAAAGTCCCAAAATTTATCAATTTACACAATATACACTTCATAAAGAAAGAAATCCCTCGTCATTTTTATGTGAACTCGATAGATCCACAAAGACATATATACGTTCGGCACAAATTTATCGTTACATATTAGTTAGTAATATGGTCGTTGATACAAGGCTTGTAATGTTGGTTGCCAGGATAGGTCCACACAGCTTATTCTAGCGTTCGAAGAAATCAGTTTATTCATTCATCTTGAGTCACATTTTAACCTTATCAATTATTTGCTTATCAACCATGACTGTTTTTATATATGAACATATGTGTGTGCACGTCTTATCCTACTCATCACGTCTATAACTTATTTTTGTTCGACTATAAATGTTGATTCACCCTCGGTTTGAAGGGGGAGAATGATTATGAATAAAGTGATCTTGAGTGTTGTTAGAGGTGTGAGGGCGGTTATAATTTCCTGGTTGCCTACACCGTGGAAGGGTTCATCTAGCGATACCTGGAAATAAAATTGCGTCAAAGGTGGTCCTATTGATCCGAGAGCCTGACCACAGTGCCCAAGGGACAACTGCTTGAGGCCGGTCTCACACGACTTTTTTGTGAGTGATTTTCGTGTTAGCTCCGTACTTGTTGAGAACTTACCGCAGGAGACGGAAATCCGTGGGATAAGGCGAGGTGTGCATTCCTAGGATCGACCTTTTCTAAACCCCGCCTTCCTTGAGGGAAGGTAACGTCGCTATTATGCTGGTCGTCCGAAGGAAACACCTTATTGTCGTTACACGTCCGTACAGTCAGAAATACGACTTCGCCTTCGGGCCTTAGGTTTGCTGCTTTTAGTCTTACCGTTCTTCAACCGAACTGTCTGACATGGTCAGTCAGTCAGCAACAACGTAGAACTTCGAGTGTTCGTCCATCAGTTCAAGTTGCCACACCACATTAGCACACAGATACAATTGACAATTCAAATCCCAGTAGTAGAGGTAGTAAAGGTATAAGCAGTAATCGGAAATATTAGGGTTTGAAGATGTTATTCAAGGAGTATAATACAGTGAAATAAATTTGGAAAGAGAAAAAATAAAGGGACATGAAGAGTTCAGAAGATTAGAATTTGGGAGAACACAAAGAGTGGATGCACCTGCGCTATTGCAAACGATTTTGGGCCATGTCATCCAAAGTCTCTAACCATCAGTTGCTATCGTCCCGCGGATTCCGACAAGGTAGTCTACACTTACCAACATGACTCAGTCCACTTGTCAGTGACTTCATGGACTTGTGCCATGTTTTGGTCTGGCCGCCCCTAGCTTTCTTCCAATCTACTCCTATACCACTGAACATCGCACGTCGAGGCAGTCGGTCGTTGGGCATACGTAACACATGTCCCAGCCATCTCAACTGATGAAGTTTCACTACGTCATCAATTGATTTGCCATCCTTACCTAGTACCCGCTTCCTAACAACTGTATTACTCACTCGGTGGTCCCAGGATATACGAGCGATGCTTCGAAGATACCTATGATCGAATACTAGTAACTTACGAATATCTACTCTTACCGGCCATAAAGTAGGAACGAACTGCTACGCAGTAAACACGTCCTTTGGTGGGTAGACGAATATCTCGACTACAACATAAATGACGCAAGTTGGCAAAAGCCAGTCGAGCCTTCTGTATCCGTACTGAGATTTCATAACACACCAGACCACAAGGGCTAATGAAACTCCCAAGATAAGTGAAGTAGTCGACACTCTCCCTATCATTAGTTCAGGTGCCGATGTGACCTAATCCGGAAGCAGGATTTTGCATTTCGAGGGAGAAGACTTTGAAGAACGATTGTTCCAGACAGTATAGCTTGATTAGTTCATTACGATAGGTGTTACCAACGGTCGGTTTTACTTACTTGCGCCTGTTACTCCGCGTGAAGGAGCATAGGCCACCCACCAGCACCCTTCATTCAACTCTATCCTGGGCAATCCTTTCCAGTTATTTTTCATCCTTTTCATATCTACTCTCAATTCCCGACGCAATGTGTTCTTTGGTCTTCCTCTTTTCCGTTTCCCTTCAGGATTACAAGTTAGCGCTTGCCTCGTGATGCAGTTTGATGATTTGCATAATGTATGTCCTATCCGTTTCCATCGTCTTTTCCTAATTTCCTCTTCAGCTGGAAGCTGGTTCTTCCTCTCCCACAGTAGGTTATTACTGATGCCATCCGGCCATCGGATATTGAGTATCTTGCGTAGACAACGGTCGGACACACTTGGTAAATTGAGTTGGTTCACTCGCTATGATATGGCTTAAAAAGTCCCAATGGTACGTGCGATAGTTCACATTTTTCAAGAAATTCGCTTTCATTATTATTTAGATGAATAAACTAGGTCTAAAATATTTTCTGCACTCACCAATTCAGCTCAAGCAGAAAGCTTAACACCAAACTGTTGTGCGAAACACAGCTAGGTGGAATCTCTTCAATTCACACTATCATTACAGCTGGTGCAATATATACCAAAGTATACACTATCTGTCTTCCCTTAAACTAAGAGATTAAAATCGCCTCATGTCTTTCTTTCTACGAACTAATTCTTTCTTCCTGTACTGTATCCTTATTGCAATCTTTCTTTTATATATTACCACCTCTCAATTAACTACTTTTATGAATCCAGTGTCCATCTTGTTGTGTTAATGTGGTATGGCAACTTGGACCGATGCATATATGTGCCTGGTCCTACGTTGTAGCTGACTGACTGACTAAAAAAAAGAAATAAAGTAGATGAAAAGTAACTACTCTCTATATGTTTGTGCTACACCAAAGTCCAATATTGATTTAGAACGAGAATATTTTCAGGTTAAATTACATAAAAAATATTTTAAAAACAAACTAACCACAAAAATAATAATAATAACCAGCATTGTGGTTGTCTGTTTATTTGCGAGATATCAGACAAAGCCATGAATCGATAACACATGATAGATTTGTTTACTGTATATCCAAGAGTTCTTTATAAACAGTGTGAAAATTATGTGAATGAATATACTATGACTAAAAAAATCGAAATAATTAGTTACTAATAATAACTGAGGCTTTAATATATTGCATGATATAACTGTGATCATAAGTTAATAAATTCCTGACACACGATAACACCCAATATTTAATCATTCTATGAACCAACAAAAAGTACGCCTACATTCATATTGACTTATCAATTTAGTGAAAACAGTTGGTTGCCTAGATAAATTTATCTTTTTATACAGAATGATTTCGAAGTTGTAAAAATCTACCACATTGGAAATTACGATTGATTCCAGGGCCTAGCATCACAGATTACCCGATGCAAATATTTTTCGAGAAATCTGAAACTACAGAGAACAAAACTAATCGCTACCCAGACTCCTTTGTTTGATTTATGACTACAGAAGCGCGACCTAATAACTGTAGTGGATTGTAGCCTGGAGGGTGTTAAGGTCACACAATATCGTCAATAGGAAGTTCAAAACCTAGCTACAGCTTATATGTTTATCATAAGGACAGGTATGCTTGGGGACCAAACAATAATTTCATTCAACTGTGATAAATTGATTGATTACTGAGATTATTAACCAAATAAAGTTGTACGCTTAACTTTGAGGCATAATTCAGATGCGAGGACTAATGATATACTTTGGCTATTGAAACTGAAGTTTGAACATGTTTGGAAGTCGAAAACTACTGAACGATCATTTCAAGGGTATGCCCAATCCTTTGAAAAACGAATATACATACATGAGGAAAAACTGCAATAAGTACATTTAAGAATTCCAAAACATTTTTACAGATGTTTATGTTTATCAATGAGTATATATACTGGTTATTTACTCTGATTGCTCTGAACAAAAAAACAACACACGTTTAAAATTATACAATGGGAGCTATCTAACATGTAATTGTTCGGTACAAACAAGAAAGAACATAATTACTACTAGCAATCTGACCAAAAGAGATAGAGAGGAAGAGAAAAAGATAAGCAATATACGCATATAGAGATAAAATATTCCTGTTGAAACAAATAAAATAATATTGTTGCAAAATGAAAGCAAACATATGGACAGTAATACATACATAAAATGGCTTTAGAAATCAAACAAAAAGCCCAAGGCAAAATCAGAGTTAAGATTAAATAAAGGAAGAAACAAAAATACAACTTTGGTGAAATTGGAAATCACATAATACTGCCTTCACATAAAGGCACTAATTAACAAACAGGAATGATTGAAAAAGATACCAAGTATTCAGTTTAGTCAATGATAAGTTAGTCTTTTGTATTTAAAAAGTGATAAAATGTTTATTTATATTTTTATTAAAAGTTTTAAAAGCACCCGTAAATGAACTATGGAAGACACTAACAAACAATTGAGAAAAGGATGTTTAAAATAGAGGATAGATAAGGGATGAAATAGGGTCACAAATAAAAAACAAACATGTAGATATACTTTTTTTACACTATCCCGGTAACCATATCCTAAAAAGATACATATGGATAAACGATAAACGTTTACGGAATTACACTAAGTGTGAATAATAGTCAAAATTAGAGAAATTTAACTGATCTGCATCTAGAAGAGGCGGACGTTGTTTAGTTGGTGTAAGAACTGCTTTTTCCCTGGTGAATTCTTCATCGAAATTTGAAACATCTTCAGGACCAGACTGGAATTAAAACCACAAAAGAGACATGATCAATCAAAAGGTTTGAAGTCTGTTGAACTTAACGAAAGATAAAACACTTGTATAAGACTTAGCAGGAATTTTTAGGAATGAACGTAAAAGCATACTTATATATGGAGTTAATGAGGAACCAATATTACAAAAATAAGGGTTCACTATAGTTGATCTACTGTGTTTAAGGAGAAAGAACTGTAATAATTGTTACGACACTCCAATGAAGCGATAAATTTTTAACCAATATTCAATATAAATATCAAATAACTTACAACAACAGGAACAAATGGTGGTTTTATTTTTTGCGCCAAGAGAGCTTGAAAATCTAGTTTACGGAAGAATGGTTGTCTTTTAATTTCTTCTGCATCTTGAGCTGAAGATCCTAAACGCTGTGCAGCATTCCGACGAAGCAGGCGCCCCATTATTAATTTAGCTTCCATGCTCAAATAATTAGGGTAGCAAACGCTTTTATTAACAATGCTGTCAAAAATTTCTTCTTCACTTTCACCAGGGAAGGGGCACTAAAAATAGAAAAATGATTGTCACAAGAACTTTAGAAAGTTAGGAATTTTAATATTCAGATTATTTGTGGTTAACAACTAAAAGCACCGAACCCTTCCTGATTTGGAAATATCGACGTAAATATATATTTGTCCAGCGATATAGATTAACCAGACGGATTTATAACAGATAAAACCAAACACCCAAAATATAAATTTTTATTATGCTTACTTCGCCGACGAGCATCTCGAAAATGAGAACACCCAAGCCCCACCAATCTACAGCACGTGTGTACGAAGAATCTGTGAGAACTTCAGGGGCCAAAAACTCCGGCGTCCCACAGAACGTGGAAGTTCGATCATCTGGACCCATGCCTTCCTTACATAAACCAAAATCAGCCATCTTTACAAAACCTTCCGAATCCAACAACAAGTTATCCAGTTTCAGATCTCTGAAATTCGTTGATATAAACAAATAATTGTAACAGAGAATTTACAACAAACAGGCACATATAAAGTCAATATGAAAGTAAAAGGCGTAATAAATACACTGAAACTGTGTACGTAAATAACATAAAGGATCTGTGTCATTTATAACAACTAAAATAAAAGTCCCTATCAAATAGAAAAGTGTATAACAATCATCGCAAAATACTTTTTGGTTGCTAGAAAGACATTAAGCAGTGCCAATAATAATATAGTAGTATTTAGTTCATCGATTTTAATGAAAACTCGGGTTGCTTGAGCAAGAGGGACTACATGATAAACCTACGGAACATTCAGCAGGATTCAATTACTGGTGTGATTATATTCGACGTAGTAAACAAAGAGAAACATCAAATGATCCAAGGTTAATTTATTTTAGCTACAACTATACAATAGAAATAACAAAAATCTCACACATTTAGTGACATCTAAGTGCTTATTATACTACCAAAGAGAGGCAAACTATGTTATACCATCTGAAGAAATTCGTCATAGATTCCTATTTACTTAAGAACATTCTTGTCTCTTAGAGAAACATTTGACAGTGTGTGAACTGAGAAGTCAGACAAAAGTTTCTAACTTGACGGGAAGCATAAGACACAAATTTCGTGTTCAGTAACATTCATTTAAAAAAATGAACTGAATTTCGTTGTTGCCGACCATTAACTATTACAGAATGTATATACAAGGCTTCTTGTTGATAGTCTCATTGTAGATATCATTTTCAGTTCATTCGATATTATTCAAATAATGATCAATATGAAATATTGTGAATTCAATGTAAACAGTAAACATTGTTTTATCTCCTGTTTGCATCAACAAATATACAAAGTAAATCAGTTCATCAGAAACCTTAACTTAACATTTTAAACAGAGAAATTTCTACAATATTATATATTTGTTATTCCAATCTGAATATTGAAGTCAAACAACAGTGAATAATATTTGCTTATTATTTGTCATAGTTAATGATGTTTACAAATTGGTAAGAATTTTTGTTGTTATCAAAACCAATAAAATACAACTAGACAATAGTTAATCATTCAGAATGGATGACCTTAAAAATAATTCACACTACTGATTGCTAGTATGTTTAAATGCCAGACTACCGTATTAGATCAATCAGATTAATGGCCAAATTACAACTTGATCGATAGAATTTGAACAGTGCTAAGAACAATAAAAAAAAACTTAACATTGATTTTATTACAGTTGAATGAATAATCAACTTAGTGATTAACTTCTGTGAAATTATTTTGATGAACCAATAACTCCTTGTTCAATAAATGACAAAACTAATATCATTTCAAAATGGCTAATAATAAGTCATTAAGGAGGAAGAATGTATTTGTAAAATCTCAGCGAAAGAATTCGAAGTAAATTCTTTCGCTGAGATTTTACAAATCCATTCTTCCTCTTTAATGATTCACATTAACTCGGCGCCCGAATATTTTGAAACTGTTCGTTCAAATTTAGACGAAAGTTCTTATTTATTGTCTAATAATAAGATTAAATCAAATCAAAATAAATTGATAAAACTTTATAACCTTATATGTAGTCAATGAAAGTAAGATTTGACATAAACAATGTATTTGAATAATGTGAATAAAGTTTTAGATAAATCTAGACAGAAAAAGTAACTTTATACATTTGGTTTTTATAATTAAACTGAAAAGTTTATGATTAAGATCGAAATTGCACAGTAAAATTCAATCTATGTTATTTATGTTACATGTTTCTCAAGGATTGCATGAACACTGAATAAATGAATGAATAAATAAATAAACAAATAGGTATTGTATAAAGTTAAACAAATTAGTAAATAAAGCACTAGAACACCAGAACCTAAAAATTAAACTCGTGTTAGTAAGGTAATGAGATGAATAGTAGCAGATGAGTAAGCAATCATGTAGAAAGTATGTTAGTTACATTTCAGTTTTAGATAATACACTATCTTCGATATATCGATGATCTATTTAGGTTTAATGGCATTTTACACCACCAACTTATAACTGAGTGTAAATAAGAGAAAGTAAGGTGGTGTATCTCAGCATTACAGCATCTATTGGGAACCAAATTTGAATCGGTGATAGATTATAATGACGTTTCCACTATCTGCGAAAGTATTAACTTAAACTGAAAAATCGAGTGAGTTCTCTTGGAGTATAGAAGGAAATCACGGTACATGGGACAATTATAGACATTAATTCCTATTCATTTGTCTTCAATATATGATATCCCGTTAACTGAGTATTTTAGCGACTCAACTCTCCCTACTAGTACTGTGACTATAATTAATATTCAAAATCCAGAACAGTTGTCGGGAAAGTGTATGGTTAATAAATAATAAAATGCGTAAGCACTCAAGATTCAAAGCACACTGGGAAGTTAGCGAATGTGTGTGTGTAAAAACTCGAAAAATCTATGAGTGTTAATCAATTATGGATAAGTTATTGATTGTGTCTGTGTTTACAACCAATGGGAGGGTAGACATTCTGTAGCTATCATTCTATTTGTATCACTAAGAAAAATAACAAATTGAATAATTTTTTAGGTGTCATTACCAAGGCTTGACTTGATAACTTCAAATAAATTGGGCATTTGGGTAGGTTGTTATTTATAAAAATAATATATTTGTAATATCCCAATGAGTAGTAAACTGAAATTTGTTTTCTGAAGAAGTGGCTTACACTGAATAACGAAACGTCAGAAAACTTTCATTTCTCTACTCATTGGTGTATTTACAAATATATTATTTTAATTCAATTGAATAATCTATTCTTTGTAAATAAATAAAATCAAATGACATGAAATTAAGACTGTAAATGTGACTATAATGAATAGAAAAATACAAATGTGATTACCGGTAAACAATTTTTTTTGAGTGAAGGAATTCGATACCTAAAACAACACATCCAGCATAAAACACAGCTTGAGGTTCTTTAAACACATTTTTTTGAATAAGTGACATGAGATCACCACCCTGTGCATACTCCATCACAAACATTACGTGTTCCTGATAACAAATGAAAACAAAGTAAATAATAAGTTATATCTGACAAGAAGTAACAATAACTAAAAATCAATAATGATTTATGCCAGAAGAAATAGAATTGAGTTCATGTAAACCAACAGAGAAAACAGAATTCATTTGTAATATATAATAAACGTAAACATTAAATAAAATTATTTGAAATACAGTATACTTTAACATTAGTAGGTGTACAAAAGACATAGATTTACAGATGTTATCTCTGGATGACTCTTTCCAGTTGGCTAGAGAATGCTTAATTCGAAAAATTTTCTTATATAACCAGATCATTAAATCTTTTGAGAAGTGTTGTATAAAGCAGTAGCTGTGTGTGAAAGAGGTGGTAAATTAATTATAATATTCAATTTGAATGTTATATTTTTGTAGACAGATTCAATAGGTGAAGTATGGGAATTGTTTATAAGTTTTTCATAACACTATATTCAAAAGCTTCATACAATATTTCTTGTTGATAAATTCTAAGAAAAAAGCTTATATCAGTTCCATCACAGGCCATCAGAGTCAAGCTATTGAGATAAATTTCTTTTCAATTAGTTTTTCATCATGGCTCTACACTAATATATATACGTTTTACAATAATAATATAATACTCATCGAGTGGATACGTTACGTAATAATTACATAATGACATTTAAATTAACATCCAGTAATCGGAAGAGAGGATTATTAGTATTCAAAGTAATCAAGAAGTTGCCATGTTGCGTAATATAAGAAACAAAGAAGGAATAGAATTTTACCTGATGGTCAATAGGATAGTAGTTACGTAAGAATCAAGAGATGAATGTTGAGATGTTATAAGGCTCAAAAGCGATAGAAACAAAATTACAAAAATTTTAAAATTAAAATAAAATAAAAAATGGAAGAAGCATGAAAAATAGTTCTTCTGACGGAAATGTTATACTGAAGGCCAGGGTAGAGAAAGTGGTTGTACGAATTTCTTTTGGATGCAAAGGTCAGGTTTGTGAACATGGATTGCGATGGCTTCCGCAATGTGCAAAAGGCGCACTCGTAAACCATGTGGTAGATTTGATGGAATATTGTAGATAACCTTAAAAGCTTTATTCACTTCGACTTGATGACCTGTGTCAACCAAGTGAGAGAGAATAGAACTTTTAATCACTTTCACCTGTCCTTTGCTTAGCCATGTTGGATGATGTTCTGTAATGCGGTGACGGACCTGTCGAATTGTACGCCCTATGTAACTGGCTCCACAGGAGCAGTTGAAACGATAGATACACATAGAGTTGGCGAATTCTGGCAGTCTGTCTTTAATAGATGTTCTTATTTTCGGGTGGTTGTAGAAGATGACATTTAATTTGGCAGCATTAAATGTTTTTTGTACCGCTCTTCTTAGTTTCTGAGTCATGACTTCTTCAATGGTGTCGTTTATGAATTGTAGTTTTATGAATAATACCTTCTTGGGGACAGTGGGTATTTTTGTCCTTTTCTTTTCCGTCATATGTTTTTCGATGAATTTCATTGGGTACCCATTCAGACTGAGTAGGTTCCGAATATTGTTCAATTCATCTTCAATAGTGTCTTCAGAACAGATCATTCTAGCACGATGTGTCAAGATCTTTATTAAGTTCCTTTTGTATCTGATTGGAACTGCACTGTGGAAATGAGTGTATTGACCAGCTGCTGACTTTCTGTGTACTCTTCTTTTTATAGTTCCGTCTGTTCTTCTAGTTAGTTGGACATCTAGAAAAGATATGCTATTATTTTGTTCATCTTCTGATGTAAAGTTAATTGATGGGTGAACGTTATTAAATATATTAAGTAAATTGTGCTTATCATTTTCTCTTTCTAATACTATGAAGGTATCATCTATATAGCGATAATAAGTTGGTAAATGGGTAATTGTACTTTTAAGTGGTCCATTTTCCAGTTTCGCAAGGAAAATATTAGCCAGTAGAGGGCCCAATGGTGATCCCATGGCGACTCCATCTAGTTGTCTATAGTATTCATTGTCAAATCTGAATTGGACGTTCATAGTGCATCTAAGAATTAACTGTTTTATCGCGCATGCGGGAATCAGGGTTTTTATGCGTCTCGCCGTTAGTTTATTGCAAATATATTCAACCGTTTCGAGTAGTGGAATATTAGTGAATAATTATGATACGTCAAGTGATATCATGAATTTATTTTTGACTGATAGATTTTTTATGTTCTCCACAAATTCAAAGGAATCTTTGACACTATGTCTGACAATTTCTTTGTGTAATGGTTGAAGAATTTGCACCAACCATTTTGCTAAATTATGATATGCTGAGTTATTCATATCTAATACTGGTCTAAGGGGCAAGCCACTTTTGTGTATATTTTTAAGCTTAATCAAAATTCACTATTGTCTAAATACCCATTACGTTTCAGTGGCGGTTGATAATAATAAAGGCGAAATTGGTCAATGTAAGGTTTAGCATTTACCGCGACTGAGAAAATCTAATTTATGGTACACAGTTTAATGGGTTTCAAATACAAAATACATCTCCTAATCACCTCAGTTCATGAAGTTTCACTACTTCGTCAGTCCATTCGCCGTCTTTACCCAGTACCCATGTCTAACCTCGACACTGTTCATCACTCAGTTGTCCCAAACTACATGAGCGACGCTTCGACGATCGCACCTGAGATCGAATACTAGTAAATCACAAATAGCCCCCCATTGTTAATGCTCGTGCTCCACATATCAGTAATGTGGAACAGAGTGAACTGCTGCACAAGAAACTTGTCCATTTGTTGGCAGACGGATATCTATCCCAAGTCATAAGTGACGCGATTTGGCAAAGATCCACTAAGCTGTCTGAGTCTGTACCGAGATTAAGTCATGCACCAAATCAGCAGAGATGATGAGACTTTCACGATAAGAGAAGTGGTATATGCGCTCAACCACTAATTACTACTTCAGGCTTTGGCACAGACCAGTCATGAAGCGGGATAGTATTGAATCCCAAACATGCTAACAGTGCCGTTCAAGACGATCAAGAGACTGGCTATTGTACGTATCTGGAGATCTTAATTCAATAACTGAATTTCCTGATAAAGGATATATTGTCGAAGACTTGAACGATGAAAGGATTATTTCTAAAGAATTTTATGGTGAAATTAAGTGCAGATGAAAAAAGTGCAGCTGAGAGCCTAAACAAGGTTGATGTATGTCTTTGATACGGCTTAGTCAAGCGCTGGATGTTGAGGCCGATATTTTAGATAGTAACATTAGCCAACCTGATTCCTGTAACAACAGAATTTTCGTTCTTTCCTGTAGACTTGGACGATCAGAGATCACGACCATTCAGATGGGATTATGTCCAATCCCCAGCCTCTTAATAGTATCGCAGGTGGTCCCGACCGTTGTTGCTACCTTGACGCAGTGGTCAGGCTTGCCCATCATCATGAAACAGTCGAGGCATACTGGAACAATCTTTCCTCGAGGTCCTACCATGCCAGACAGCTCGGTTCAAGAACGGTAAGACTAAAAGCAACAAACCCAATGTCCGAAGGCGAAAAAGTACTGCAGACTGTAGAGGTGTGACACCGATAAGATATTTCCTTCAAACCGCCAGCATGACAGCGACGCTGCCTTCCCACAAGGAGCGGTGTGGTTATAAAATGTCGATCCTAATAATGCACACTTCGCCTTATCCCACGGATATCCATCTCCGGCGGTAAGGTCTCAACAAGTACGGAGCTAACACGAAAATTACTCACAAAAAGGTCGTGTGTGACCGACCTCAAGCAATGTCCCTTGGGCACTGCGGTCACCCTCTCAGGTCATTAAGACCACTTACTACTTACTTATTTACGCCTGTTACTCCTCGTGAAGGAGCATAGGCCGCTCACCAGCATTCTCCATCCAACCCTGTACTGGGCAATCCTTTCCAGCTCTTTACAGTTGTTATCCACCCTTTCCATATCTGCTTCTACTTACCGACGTAATGTGTTCTTTAGCCTTCCTCTTTTTTGTTTCCCTTCAGGATTCCAAGTTAGGTCTTGCCTCGTGATGCAGTTTGATGATTTGCATAATGTATGTCCTATCCATTTCCATCGTAATTTCCTAATTTCTTCTTCAGCTGGAAGCTGGTTTGTTCTCTCCCACAGAACGCTGTTACTGATGGTATCCGGCCAATGGATGTTGAGTATCTTGCGTAGACAACCATTTATAAATACTTGTATCTTCTTGATGGTGATTGTTGTAGTTCTCCATGTTTCAGCTCCGTACAGTAGAACTGACTGTCTTGAAGTTCGTATTGAAGACTCTGACTTTGATATTGGTTGAAAGTTGTTTTGAGTTCCATATGTTCTTCAATTATAGGAATGAGATCGTTACTTTGCCAATCCTCACCTTTACGTCTGCAACTGATCTTCCTTGTTCATAGATGATACTTCCCAGGTATGTGAAGGATTCTACATCTTTCAGAGTTTCGCCATCAAGAGTGATTTAATTGCTGTTCTCCGTGTTGTATTTGAGGACCTTGGTTTTTCTGTTGTGCGTCTACTGTATCTTTCATCCGGTTCAGCAACATTCTGTTGAAAACAGTAGTGTGATGCCTCTGTAGTTTTCACATTTGCTCGGATCTCCTCTCTTCGGAATCTTGATGAGGTGTCCTTCTTTCCAGTCCATCGGCACTTGATCCTCCTCCCAAATCTTTTTGAATAGAAGGTAAAGCATGTTTGTAGTTAATTCGATGTCTGACCAGTGCTTCAGCTGGTATATTGTCGGATCCTGCTGCTTTACCGCTCTTGATTTGTCTGATGGCCATTCTGATTTCTTCCATCGTTGGTGGATTGACATCTATAGGAAGATCTGTGTGCGCTGCTTCGATGTCCGGTGGATTCATTGGAGCCGGTCTATTCAGGAGTTCCTCGAAGTACTCTACCCATCTGTTACGCTGTTGTTGAATTTCAGTGATTGATTTGCCTTCTTTGTCCTTGACCGGTTTACTGTATTTCCCTGCTAGTTTTTTCGTTGTATCGTAAAGTTGTTTCATATTTCTTTCTCTTGCAGCTTTTTCCGCCGTCGTTGCTAGTTCTTCCACGTATTTCTTCTTGTCGGCTCTAATTCTTTTCTTCACTTGCTTGTTTGCTTCTATGTATTCAGCTTGTGCTTGAACTTTCTCTGCTCGTGTTCGGCTGTTGTTAATTGCTGTATTCTTGTTCTCCCTTTATTTGATCCTGTCCAGTGTTTCTATAGAGATCCACTCCTTCTTGAGGCCCGGAACCTCTTGACATGTTGAAGTTAATGCTTCTTTGATACTTTTCCAGTTGTCCTCCATAGTAGTTCCTTCTTCTTTCAGTAGATCTTATAAGGCTTGGAACCTGTTGTTGAGAGCTATCTTGAATTCATTGGGTTTGTCAGTATCTCGAAGGAAGGCTGTATTGGACCTTTGTAGTGCTGTTTGTCCAGTTGTCCAGTTCTTCTTTAGCTTCAGTTTTAAATTGGCCACAACTAGGTGGTGATCTGAAGCTATGTCAGCTCATCTCCTGGTTCTCACATTTTTCATTGTCCTTGGGAACTTTTTATTGATGCAAATATAATCTATCTGGTTCTCTGTGGTGTGGTGCGGTGAGATCCATGTAGCCTTGTGTATACGCTTGTGTGGAAATATTGTGCCTCCTATGACCAATTTGTTGAATGCACACAGATTTGCAAATCTTTCTCCATTTTCGTTTCTCTCACCCAGTCCAGTCTATGTCGTCCCATGATATCTTCATATCCGGTGTTGTCTATTCCAAGTTTGGCATTTAGATCTCCCATCAGAATGGTGAGGTCCTTTCTTCGGCTCTTCTATATGATTGACTGCAGCCGCTCGTAGAATTGATCTTTAATGTTGTCGTTGCTATCATTGGTGGGTGCATAACATTGGATAATATTCATCGTGATCCCCTCCTTCTTTGTTTTGAATGATGCTTTGATGATTCTGGATCCGTGAGATTCCCATCCTACAAGTGCATTTCGTGCTACTTTGGACAGCATTAGAGCAACTTCCTGAGTGTGTGGAGCATTTTCCTCTTCGTGACCGGAGTATAACAGCATCTCTCCCGCGATTTAGTTTCCTACGGTATGGGGTCGCTAACCCCATGCTCAACTCTCCTCGTTTACCTGGGCTTGGGACCGGCAGTAGCTCTAGAAGAGTTACAGACCACCTCTAATCCAATTTCCTTTTTAGGTACCTCCAGAAGAACCCTTCCATGGCGTGGGCAACCAGGAAGTGATAAGCGCCTTCACACCTCTAACAGCACTCAAGACCACCGTTGATCGCAGGTGATGTAACTGTTAAAACTGGACCACCATTCTTGGAGATCTTTGAGGTTAATCTACTAGGATCTGCTACTCTCCTTGCTTTTGACTAGTTACATTATTTCCAGCCTCACTAGCAGTTGGGGACTGAGGTCGATTTTCCATTCAGATTATTTGTTTTCGCTTTCAATCGTGTTCAGAGCCTGAGTTTACGAGAATCTATCAGCGCAATAGACTTAGCAGAAATGAACTGGTTTTTCGTGACCCTTTGGTTTAAATCACTAATAGATGTCGCTGGTGTTTCTACAGCAGTTCGTAAATCTTACCAAGCAATATCTGGGTCAGCTTCGTTTCAGAACTGCCCAATTGTGACCTTAGTTGTTAGCCTTACTATGCAATAAGCTAACAGGTAAACCAGAGATCGAGTGGAAGTAACATTTTTCACGTTTTAATGTGCCTAACTAGAAAAGGGTAATAAATCAAGTTGTTTAGATGAGCATTTTTGAAGCAGTGAATGGAGATTACTTAAATCAAAATAAGTTGACCTGAGAAATAATATTTAAAAAACAATAACTGGGAAAGTATTGAAAATAAGTGATTAACTAACATCTTGGGGACAATACGATAGATGAACAACGAAACGACTATTGATTATTAACGGAACTAAGAGATACAATACACGAAAAACTGAAACATAAAGGGTAAGCAGTGGAAAAGTAGCTCTCACTCTATATCTGTGAATCATTGGATATAAAAGTAAAAAACACAAGTAAGCTACAAGTATTTGCTCACAGGTGTCTTGGAAGTACTGTATAAATAGGGTGGATTAAAAGTAAAAAGAGCAAATAGATTGATGACATTATATATCTCCATCAATTGAGGTGTTTAGGGCATATTCTACTAAGGTGGAACCGTCTGCATTAAGTGTAGCACATAGATTAGCAAAATCACTTTAACCAATCCTATGCAAACCAAAGAATGAAATGACGAAGGAAGAAAAATCCGAATATCATCCACAAAATTAAGGTTCAACTGGGAAAATCACTATATTGGACAAAGTGGACGCTCCCTTCACCTTCGCCTGCACGAACAACAATTAGCAGTCAAATGTCATGGCATATCCTCGCTTATATCAATGCATGTGGACAACTGTGAATACAAATTTGACTGGAAAAATGTTGAGACCTTGGATAGAGGCAATTCTAAAAACACCAACGAAGTTTTAGAAGCTTGGAACTCTGGTCAATCAGCAAACACATTTAAATGAATCTGACGTATCAACCAATCAGAAAAATCATGGACAAATATAGGACCAAGAAGATGCAATCAAAATAGAGTAGACAGTGACAGGTTAAAGGCCAACAACAATAACCAATCAAGATCGGGGTCTACAGGACAAGCTGTGAGTCATATGTGAAGGAATTCGAGCACTTCACTTCTACCCGAAGTTTGTGCTGATGATGTCGTTCAGAAGAACAATGAAAGCTCCACGACCAAACAATCCAGCTCAGAGAAAAAAACTTCACTTAGATCATCCACCTGAGCTACAAATCTCCACCTGTGCTACTTATGCTTAACCACCACATAAACGAATATGCAGTGTTGGGTAGCATAGAGTATGTTGGAAAATAACTGGGAAAGAACATATTAAGATATGATACCAATCTATCAAGTCATCAATTGTTAATAAAGATCGTGCGGATAGGTTAAAACTTACAGATTGAGACCCCCGCAATACGTATAATACATATTTGAATGTATATATGAATGAATTACCTATAACTATCTAAGTATCGTAAGTAACTAATAATTATCTCATCTGTTTTCTTCCTTCTGTACTTTCTCTTATTCTTTGATACCCACTGCAGTTCAAATTGAGTGTTCTCCATTCCTTTTTTGTTGATATTATTATTATTTATAGCTTTATTCAAAATTACATTTTTGGTACAATACAGAATTCTCAGTACAAAGTATTTCGACAATTCTCTTTTCCTTATTTCTTGACCGACCCTTCCGATAAATATTCAGTGGTCATCAGTTATATGTTGGCTGTTCAGGAATCGACATCTGAATAATTTATATTATTTTCGATGCACATTTCCGGCAACCACGATGTCTCGGATTAGGCTCTTTTGTAAGTTGTGCATCGAAAAGTAGTAAACTTTTCACAAACGCACCTGAATAGGTTATGAGACAAATAGGCATAATGATGTGTTAAAACAAACAAGAAAACAGATAACTTGTTGGAATATCCAGATGGAGGGAACAGGTAACTCAGGTATTCAAGCAGGCTGCCTTCATATGGTGTGACAACCTGAAGGGATACATGTTTGCACAAGATTCTACATGAACTATGGTTAAGACTAACTGAAATATAAATGAAAAATAGGACTTGCCTTTGTCTGGAAGCAGGCAATCAAGTTTACGAGGAAAGGATGTTGTGCATCGGTAATGATTTGCAAAATGCGTTTTTCTGTCAATAATGTATCGACCTCATTACGAAAGATTATCTCCGCCTTCTTTAAAGATTTTATAGCATAGTACTTATTATCTCGGTGGTATTGAGATAGCAATACTTTGCCGAAATGACCACGCCCAAGTACAGCCACAGTGCGGAAATCAATCATACTGAGTATTGTTGTGAATTTGTTTGATGATACTATGAATCAAAGGCAATTAAAAACAATTAAATTAGCGAAAACGGTAGAAATCTTGAAGATATGGAAGAAACAATAAAAGAACGAATGCAAACTTATTAACATGTGCAATGCACATTGAACTGAATATATAATATTATTAGAAGACCAAGTAAATCGTTGGTGATTGTGCTATGCACAGCAAACAGCTTAAGTAAAATTTAAAGTAAGCAATAACTATAAGGTGGAAATCCTAACTAATGTTTCAAGCAAACTGTGGTCGGGTATCTAAGCACTTTCTATCATTCATTAACTTGGAAGTCAAATTTGGAAGCAAAAAAGTTATGAAATATGTGTTTGGAATACAAAAGTAATTGAGATTAGTATGTTATCATTAATCGCAAGACCTAGCTTGACGGTCCTAAATAAATTGAAAAATAGATAGTCTGCTTGCGGATTATCTACTCACTTGTTCCTGTTACTAATTTATTTGTCGTAAATACCACCAACCTAACCAACTGAATACATAACCTCAAAAAGTAAACTTTAAGTCCGATATGTTTATCGATTACTACTCATAAAAATCAATAGAAAACTTCGCTGCACTAAAAATTATTATTATTATTATTATTAGCTTTATTCAATATTATATTATTGGTACAATATAGAATTCTCAGCACAAAGTATTTCAACAAGTTTCCGTTTCTTTCTTCTTGGTCGGTCCTCGCGATAAATACTGAGTGATCGCCAGCTAGATGTTAACAGTCCAGTAAATGAATATCTGAATAATGTACATTCTTTTCGTTGTATATTGCCAGCAACAATATTCTCTCTTTTTGAGCTTTTTGTAACTTTGACAACGAAAGGTTGTACACTTTTCAGAAACGCAGCAGAATAGGTTGTGCGATTAATAGACATAATTATATATTAAAACAAACAAAGATAGATAACTTGTCGAAATGTCTAGATGGCAGGAACAGGTAGCCCAGATGCTCAAGCAGGCCGCCTTGATGAACTGTAAGGGTTGAAGCTATCACGAGTTCACTTAATCTGCGAACGAGAAACAAGACTCGGTGACCAAAGACCAGTAAGCTAGCTATTGATGCCTCCCAGCCCCGCTAACTAGGGGGAGAAGTTCAAGCTTGGAATGGGGAAGTATATTCTGCAAACAGCCAGAAACGAGCGGTGAAAACAAACAATTCAAAACGTATATATACAGTACAGAACTGTCCTTGGGGAGAGCTGCCAAATACCATATTAAAAGACGCAACGGATCAATAGTATTTAAGATATTTGCCAGTGAGAAATACGACGTGAAGGTGACAAGAGCGCCTTTGGCGTGAAAACTAAATAAAATTACAAAATTAGGTCCTTTCCCAAGTGAGTTCTGGGGATCTAACGTCCCTAACATGAACCTAGTTATGAACACAGCTAGAATACGACGAGAAAATTTTCCAATCAGATTATCCCAAACAAAGCTAGATAGTGCACAAAACTTACATTCACTAAAAACTTCGGATGCTGCAGTACGCGGAGACTCTGAAGTAGGAACATCTTTATTTTCTTTTTCTGTTGATAATACAACGGGACCAGAATTAGATCGTTGCACATCCATATTAATATAGTCTGTAGTACGATAATCGACGTCCTTCTGACCTATAGATATCATTTCCGTAGCACCAAGGTCTTCTGGATTGGCGTAGTCTGAAACACGGGATGGAGTAGGGGGTTTTCGGCAGCTACTATCCATATCATATTCGATGATAACTGGCGCAACATCGTAGTCCGGAGAAAATGAAGAGTCGATTCCAGTAGCAGGTGCATGATGATGGGGTGTCGATGAGTAGTCATTAATGTCATCAGTCAAAAGAGACTAAATGAATCAAAAAATATTCGAACGTTTTATAAAATATCTTAATCAAAGTATAATAAATCCAATTTTCAAAAGTAATATCAGTTATGATTATTAATATAGATTAGAAATAAGGTATGAAAACAGGGATACACAAGAAACAGTAGTCTAAGGACCACCAAAGCAATTCAACTGTGTGAAAAGTTAAAAGAAAATTCGGATCAGAATGATATCACTCAGCACCAGTATATGACAAAAAATAAACATATGAAACTTTGTTCGGGTTATTATTATGCCATGCGAATTTGCAAATTAATGTCAAGAAAATTTAAAAACAAAAAAGCTTTCACATTGAGTTTTAGCTGCCTCATTGATCTTTTTATCGTGACCCAGAAATTTGTATAACAGGGGTTGAAAAATTCCCAAATCACTCACTTTTTTACGTAGGGTTTTTATTTCCTTTTCAGTTAATGTAATATTTTTTTCCCGTAAAGCACCTGGTTCACGAATAATTGTAACTAATGGACGCTGTTGAATAATCGTATCAGTGATATTGACTGATCTGGTAGGGAAGGCAGATGGCGATTCTCGATATTTAGAAGTATTTAAATGAGATTTGCCATTAAAAGCCTACATATATGCAAGCAAATTTAAAATAATAAAAACCTAAAAGACTAAGGAAAAGATCGGTCACCTTAATAATCATAAATAACAAAAATAAGCAATAAGCTATACACTAATATGTTTTATCATCAATATCATCATCTGATCATTGGAAATCTCAGCGATCTTCACAAATTTTCAGTATGAAGTGATTTTCTGTGATAAATGCATTCTCCAAGTTGAACATCATCATAGTACAGAAATAAAGACAAGACATAGTTTTTTTCTACTTGAACAGTGAGCAATATACATTTATGGCATACTAAGAATCATACAGAGTAAGCTATGAAACTGATGTTGAAACAAAAAAATGGTTCACAACGCCATGATAAAAATATGATATAGGAGTGACTCAAAATTAAAATAGCTAGGCAATATAAAGCAGAAATTAAGAAATTTAGGAACTCCATCTCTATAGGTATGGGAAAGAATCAAAGTCTATACAATAGTGTTTCAAGTATTTACAGAACAATAGATTTATAATTATAGGTACTTTAAAACACTACGCAGATAGGTAGAGCTGTCCATAACAGTATGCATAAGTCGGTGGGATTACAAACGCATTCAAAACATATCGATAATTATGGGAATTTGTTCACCCTATTTTATATTCACAGTGGAAATATCAAGCAAGTGAAAAACTCCACTTAAAGTAATTAGTGATGTAAACCAACGAACAAATAACACAGTTTCACGAGCAGGTCAGTCTTATTATTAAATCTCATGCCGAAATACAGTAAGTCAGTCAGTCAGTCAGTAACAACGTAGAACTTCGTACGGACGTACATCAGTTCGAGTTGCCACACCACATTAGCACATTTGCACAAATCCCATAGTGGTAGATGTAGTAAAATTATAAGCTGTAATCAGAAAAATTAGGGTCTGAAGATGTTATTCAAGGAGTATAATACAGTGAAATAAATTTGAAAAGAGAAAAAAGAAAGGGACATGAAGAGTTCAGAAGATTAGAATTTGGGAGAACACAAAGAGTGGATGCACCTGCGCCATTGTAAACCATTTTGATCCATGTCATTCAGGGTCTCTAACCATCGGTTGCTATCATCTCGCGGTCCCCAACCACGTAGTCTACACCTACCAATATGACTCAGTCCATTTGTCAGTGACTTCATGGACTTGTGCCATGTTTTGGTCTGGCCGCCCCTAGCTTTCTTCCAATCTACTCCTATACCACTGAACATCGCACGTCGAGGCAGTCGGTAGTTGGGCATACGTAACACATGTCCCAGCAATCTCAACTGATGAAGTTTCACTACGTCATCAATTGATTTGCCATCCTTACCTAGTACCTGTTTCCTAACAACTGCATTACTTACTCGATGGTCCCATGATATACGAGCAATGTTTCGAAGACACCTATGATCGAATACTAGTAACCTACGAATATCCTCTACTCTTACCGGCCACGTTTCACTGCCATAAAGTAGGACGGAACGAACTGCTGCACAGTAAACACGTCCTTTGGTTGATAGACGGATATCTCGCCTACGCCATAAATGACGAAAGTTGGTAAAAGCTAGTCGAGCCTTCTGTATCCGTGCTGAGATTTAGTCACACACCAGACCACAAGGGCTGATGAGGCTTCCAAGATAAGTGAAGCGGTCGACACGCTCAACTACTTCGCCCCCAATCATTAGTTCGGGTGTCGATGCAACCCAATCCTGAAGTAACATTTTGCATTTCGAGGGGGAGAATCGCATGTCGAACATGCTTGCATTGTTGCTTATAGTGGTCAGAAGATTCTGCACTTTGTCAGCGTCTTCACCAAATAGAACTATGTCATCGGCATATTTCAAGTCAACCAGTGAATCTCCTGGTAGAAGTTTAACCCCTGGAAATTTAGATGAGGAAAGTGTCATCACTAAAAGCACGTCAACGATAAAGTTAAACAAGAACGGAGAGAGTGGACAGCCCTGACGAACACCACTTGAGGTAATCAATTCTGATGACAGTTCGCCATAAGCTCTCACTTTACAGTTGTGTTCGAATAGAGAGCCTTTATAAGGTTAATGTACTTCTTTGGTACTCCTTTCAGTGACAAACACTGCCATAGAACCTCACAATCAACAGAGTCAAATGCCGCCTTAAGGTCGAGAAATACTACGATTGTGGGGCGTCTGAATGTGTGTCTAAAAGATGTTTTTCCTTATGTTTAAAGTTAGTATTTGCAAGGGACAGGCGGTTATCTGAACATAGCTGCAACAGACGTTCGCCATTATTTGTTCTTTGAGCCACGATGCTATAAGACCCACCTAGGTGTCCTCCCCTATCGCTTAGTTTACCTACTTGAGCATTAAAGTCACCGGCCACTATTACTACATCAGAGCGCCTAGCTTTTCGGAGAAGGTCGGAGAGCTTTCTGTAAAACTCATCTTTTACATCATCTGAGCTGCAGTCAGTGGGAAAATAGGCAGAGACGATGAAGAGGCAACGACGAGTGTCCCTATCTTTTCGGATCCTTACTGTCCCGTTCAGTTGGACAGCGCACAATCGACTGTCTACTGGGATCCAGTCTAAGAGAGCTAATTCAATGCTATACATACTGCAGCGAGGCCACGGGAAGCAGTATCAGGGATTCCAGATACACAAAGTGTGAATCGAGACGGTTCTTTATTTTGGCATGACGAGGTCAAATGAATGACGCTACTCGGATCTTGTATGCGCGTTTCCGAGACGCAGCACATATCGATGGCGCGGGATTCTAAAGTCCTAGCTAAGGGAGCCTGCTGTCCTATTTGACAGTGTTCGGACGTTAAAAGCTGCTACGTGTAGTTTAGAGCGTGGTTTCAGGAGACCAGGAATAGCGTTCCACGTACTCGAATCATTTGCCCTAGCGGTGCGAGGTGATAAAGAAACGTGAGGAGGGTAAGTCATGGAGATAAGAGAGGTATTAGGAGGTGTAGGAAGGATTTGAATGTGACCACCTTGGTCTCGTGTGTTGTTACGAGTATGAGGGCTGATATCACTTCCCAGCTGCCCATACCGTGGAAGGGTATTTCTTGAGGAACCTGAAAAGGAAATTGGATTAGTGTTGGTCTTAACGACTTGGGAGCTTGACCGCAGAGCCCAAGGGACAACTGCTTGAGGCCGATCGCGCACGGCCTTTTCGTGGAAGGTTTTTAATGTGTTAGCTCCGTTCTACAAAGAGCCTTACCGCCGGAGACGGAAATCCGTGAGGTAGGTGGGGCGTGACATTTTTAGGGCCGACCTTTGCTAACCCCACCCCTCCTTGTGGGAAAGCAGCGTCGCTGCAGATGCTGGTTGTCTGAGGGAAACACCTTACTGCTGTCACACCCCTCTACAGTCAGCAGTACGACTTTGCCCTCAGACCTTGAGTTGCTGCTTTTAGTCTTACCGTTCTCCAATCGACCTGCCTGATATGGTAGAACCTACAGGAACATATGTTCCAGCCAATATAGCTCGGTTGGGTCATCACGATAGGCAAGCCCGACCACCGGGTCAAGGTAGCAGCTTCGGTCGGGCGAAATACAGTAAAGTCCATTTCTTTCGAAAGTCCTAGATAAGTATGTTCTCTACTAAGGGATAATACGAAATTAGTAATTGGAAAAACAAGCAGAATATCATGAGATCTCGTGCAAACCTTCGTTAATTTAAATCAACACACTTTTCCATAGCTCAAGAGAAAATCAACAAAAACGCAGATATTAAAGTAAACAAAGTCATTAGCCAAAGGAGAAGGAACAAACTTAACATAGACAATGGCTTTAAAAATTATTTGTCCTATCAAGAATAACCTGTCTCATGGAGTGTATCGAACTATGATAATTAGGAAGTAATTTACAACATTTATAAACGCTTTTAGATTAGCTTCGGTAATTCACATTAACTCACATCTGGCTGCATAATAAGTATTAATACACTAATTTAAGATCTTTGGGCTCATCGTGACTTTAGATGGAATCCGCTGACACTACAAGACCATGTGTTTGGAAAAGTCAGTCAGTTTTCAGACAAGACTCAGAATAAAACTAAGTGATGATTGTGCTGTCATTTTTAATCTGAAATTTCCCTATATAATCTTATTATGGTCGGTAGTACGATTTTTCTCATTTTTATGCCTCTAAAAGTCTTTTTATTTCATTCTGACGTAACACATGACATCCAAAAAGATTAGAAAGGATTTCCCAAATTCACATGACAATCAAGGTTGTGTAATGAGTCTGTAGAAGTGCGACTCTATGAGTGACTGGTGCTCAAGAACGAAATTCTCCGATGGGTCAAAGGTTAATACTCGAGGTGACATTTATCGGGTCAAGTTAACTACATCTGAATATGGACGAGTTGTGCGTATTATAATTCCTCATATAAAGTACCTGGATCAGTCAAATATTCATGATGAAAGACATAAGAGTGTGTTCCAGTGTTTATTGTACTAGGCTTTGAGTTATAAAACGAAACATTATACAGTAGAAAGGATCTATAGAAATAGCTTACAACATAGTCCACCGTTTTATGGGAATTAGTCAACTATAAAAACACAAAGTATCTAAATCTGGTTGTCATAATAGAACATTAATAACTTGGTTAACACAAATGAGTATAATTTTCAAGGCTTTATTGGTTAGGCCGATTTATATGCTCTCCATTTTTTCGAAATTGTGTGATTATTATCATTAATATGTTCAAATCATGTATAAATAAAATAATAGTAAAATTCACCTGAGCAGAAACTGGTGAACCGCTAAGAGATGTATTAAGCTGTTGGAAGCGACCCTCTAGACCATGCATCATTACAGATCCTGAAGATCCAAATTCTTTTGAATGACTAAGTGTCCATGAACCACTAACAACGGAACGACTCATTTTAGATAACTGACCGCTTTTAAGCAAACGAGTCCATAAGGGTATATTCATATCAAGTTCATTAATACGAGGAATATTGTTTCCTTCATATTAAAAATATAAAAATAATAAACATGACTATAAGATAAAAATGTATACCGAATCAATTGTCAATCACAGAACACTTATGAAATATATAAAAGTTGTTCATTAGTTAACAACTAAAATATACAATTATAGCTATGATACGAGAGAATCCTTATAAGTGACTCATAAGAAAAAACAATCCACATATGTGTTTATGGATGTTAAGACACATTGGTACAGATATATACATAGCTAATTCACAGTCGACATATAAAAATATGATTCAACAAATCAAATAATGAGCATCGAAACCTACCCTTATCGTCGAATCTAGATTAACATTCATCATGGAATATTTAATCAGTATTAGAAAATGGACACGGAAAAGTAAACTCTAATCGTTTTAAAAACGGGTAAATTGCCTTTAGAACATGTCAGTAACAGGTGATAGCAAATCGATTTGATTATAGTTATCACTCGGCTCAGAAAAAATAAATCCAGAGTAAAATTAGAATAGATCATATGATGATTAGAAATTACTAGCACGAGTCGATTCAATTAAAGGATCAAGAACAGGTTCCTCTACGTGTAATGTATGTAAATAATTTCATTCCCTTATCAGTGGGAAAGTAGGAAAAACTAAGTTTAAATCTGTGACCTAATCGTTTGAAAATTGAGTCGTTAAACTATCCAGTCCTTGCCTTCGACATTAAAGCAGAAATGATGTATTATAAAACAGTAATCATTAGAAAAAACATTCTTCATGAGCTACAGTAGGTCGATTAAGCAAGGAATCCAAAAGGAGTATGCTTCCTTTCAGTTGTGAGATATATGTAAATATATATATATATATATATATATATATATATATATATATATATAGAGAGAGAGAGAGAGAGAGGATTAATTAGTTTTCATTCAGGGCGTCGAACATAGATAAGGTATTTAGAAAGTTCACAAGATATATGGGTTGAACCATTTTAAAATGTCACTGAAACAAGATCGTTTACTGACGTACAACAGTCGATCCGATGTTTAGGACCGCTTAGAAGACGTTGATAGTTTTTCCAAAAGACTTACGACTGAGTTACGAGTTAAAAATTGTTCCACTTTACTGATTGTGCCAATTTTTTAATGCATATATCAGCATGCACTTATCAGCTAAAAAATACTAGTTCCAAATATTTGTCGCTAAAAGAGTCAAAGACCTGGTGACTCAGAAGCATATATCTATTTTAATAAGCCATAAAATTATTCTAGGGTTTTCGACTCAAAGAACAACAATAAATCTAGCGAATCAAAGTTAAAACCGTTATCAAACACCGTACCTTTGCGCTTGGAAAATAAGCGTTTCTGGCGATGTAAGCCGCATCGAGGTTTAGAAAGAAGAGGATCAGAGAATTTAAGGACAAGGAAAACTTTCCCCATTGGTAACATAGGAAGCATTACAGAACGTGATTCGCCACCAAGTAATTCTTCAAGGCGTACATAACTAGAATGAAATTTGAAAACAATTTAATTTGAGGAGTAGAAAAATTCGAAGATATATCAAACTTTAAAAATGAATGACATACTTTACGGCTGCTAAAACCCACTCTAATCCAGAACCAGAATCCTCAGACGAACTACTTTTGGATGAAGCAGAGGATCCTGAAGGAGTGGTAACAGAGCTTGGAAGAAACGTACGCTTCCAATAAACCTGGACTTCCAGTTCTTTGCCACGATCGATATTAAATGTAGTCTTTGAGTCCCAACACTGCTGATTAGGTTGCCGCCAAGGTGAGTCCCATACACGTTTATGATCAATCAATAAAGAGCATCGAACATCCACTTTAAATAAGAATGAAAGTTTTAACAAGCATGAAATACAAAAGGGTGCATATACATATATTTATTTATATAGCCAAATAAATGAAGCAGCAAAATGATGCATCACCTGAGATTATTAACGGGGTTAGTAAACAATAATATGTCAACAATTTTGAATTATTTCTGAACCTATGGTTTCAATCTTGTTAGGTTATAGCTAGACTACCTACCTCATAATTTTTATAGATAACAAAATAAATTTGCCACTGTTCTAAAGTGCTGTATGGCGATGTTGAATCGACAATACAAAACAAACAAAAATTCCGATGTCCCAAGACACTTGGAGAACTTATGAATAAGAACTGACGTCCTATAAAGTTAATTGTGTTCTATAAAAATTGACTGATCTAGTATATGACACCACGCTAAACTATTGAAATTAACGAATCGGTAGAACCGTGAACATTATCTGAATCAAGGATTGTTGATTGTGCATTTGAGAATCAATACCCTGAATGTCAAAACACCAGTGCATTACAAGGACTGTATGAAATTCAAGTGACTAACTCATCATTTACAACCGTAAGTACTAGAAATATAGCAACACAAAGTTAGGTCTAGTGATATGATCCACCTGTGTAAACAGAATTAAGTGAAGTACCTTCAAAATTACGACCTAATGGTTGAAGGTCAAGTCATTGCTTCAAAGAAAGGACTAAACTCCCCATAGATTCCAAAACCTAAATTAAACTCCTCTTTCCATAAGTAAATAATGAGTAAACCCCTAACTAGCGCTGTTACTGTCGGGTATAACAGTTAGACTGACTGAAAACATCCAGCGAGACCTCTAGAGGTAAAATATCAGAAATCAGTTTATAAATAACCTACCCCAGTGATTCTCAGATGTGCGAGATGTCATAACTGATGGAACAGAGTGAACCCGGGATGTTGATGTGCCAGAAAGTTCATTATTTACAATCTCAGCTGGAAAATGATCAACGATATCCTGACAACCTAAGCAACGAACCTCCAAACTTCCAGTGATCGCAGTTGGTGGACTGGGAATTAACAATGAGCTATTGCCATGAAATGTAGTATTACTCCAAGGTGAGGATAAAAGTACAGTCATTTCAGGGTCATCGACAATAGAAGAAATCATCTCGGGAAAGTGTGTTGGTGGAGGTCTCTTTAAAAGCGGTTTGATTGATTCTTGAAACAAATAAAGCCTATGGAGAGATTCACGAGCCTCTTGTAACGCCTGTAGAAAATAATAAATTGCCGAACTGATATAAATTAACATATTACTGAGATTCGGATATAAAAAAGCATAAAATTCTATTAAATGCTCTAGGAAATCTACAGTTACGAAGCGAAAGAGTTCCCCTTTCATATATGCTTGGAAAGCCTGATAGTACATGTTGTTCAGTGTCACAATAGTATGAGTACCTGATACTCAACCATTAGATCACAAGTTTAAGCACAGGTTAGCTACTTTAGCTTAGATAATTAATATAGGTATATCTCACAGTAAGCGAACTTACCTCATATTTCACGTGCAGCTCAAAGTAAATATGTAAACGAACTAAACTACTGAGACAACTTCCGTACTACAGATACTATTCACTTTACCTAGATGTTTAAGATAGTATGAGAAAATTTTAGGTTACAATTATACGATTTCGTACTAGCTGTTGGATATTGCCAAGACTAAGTTTCTGAGTCTGTCTTGTTTTTGCCTTTACTAATGTCGGGATCAGTTTTCTCAACATAATTTGCTTTTTGCATACTTGACTTCGCTGTACCGATACGAAAAACGATAAGCTGAACTGATTTGCCATTTCGGTATGACATACATTATCTCAGTTTTTACGTTCGCTTTCGTTAAGTGATTAGTCTAAGGTGAATGTACAGGGAAAACTATTATTTACGTTTAAATAACGTATCACATGCCCAAACAAAGAAAGGCTGTCAAAAATAAAGAACTTTAGAAAAATTCAGTGAGGTGGACGGCAGGCTCAATAACGATCTTCAAAGACTGTTGAAAACAGTTCGGTTAACTTCAATTGTCTTAGAAAGTTATCTGGCTAACCTGGAAGACGCGGATGTTCAATTTATATCATTAAAAACAAGAAACTGATCAGATAAGCAACTTTCTGTTGTTTTTAAGAATAGAAATAAAATTTTAGCCAACAAACTAAGTAGATGTTTGTAAATAATATAGTTAACTGGGTGTGACAACTATTACAGTAAGTGTCCAACACTAATTATATATATAGGTTGTCTCCACATTAATTCATTCCCCATGTACGTGGAAACTAACCAAAAGGACCTGGTTGAATTTCTATCCGATTTCGTATCTAATGATCATATTTCCACATTACAACTCTTAATACCATCACTCATACAAAACTCTAAGGCATTAATGATGTTTTTGACTCATTAAACAAAACTACATTGTGGAATTATCTACAGGATTTTGTCTAACTCTGAGAATATGCATTGATTACAAAATATCAAAGATCCTCAAAAAGTGTTATTGCATACGACCAAATAACTCAATCGCAGAGTAAGGCACGACTGTCCGATTAAACGATTTCCCTTCAACTTTATTCTTGATGAAATCCTATAGATAGCTCTGAACCAGGTATTTGATATTGCTGTAAAGCCGTTACTTTAAGATATAATAATTAACTCCAAGTAACTGAATAGCATCCTTTCATCGTGCAGTAATATACGAATTAAAAACATTACTTGATAAAAAAAAATTAGCTCATGGAACAAATTTGGGTAATAGCGGACAGTTATGTTGTATTAACACTTCTTGGGTAAATAAGATTATGTTTGCGGCTCGATTTGTAATATTTGTAGTATTACTATCACTTCAAACTAAAAGTCACTGGGGATCCTTCGGTACTTTTAGTTTACTTTCTGAATATACAGTAAGATATATTTTACAACAAGTGAAATTTATATTCGTTATGTTCTGAATTGAACTTTGTTGGTGAATGTTTTGATCTAATTATCTTACGATTTTCTCTTCGCTACTGCTCTGAAACGACATTATTTTGTTTTCTATGATACACTTATTGGTCATTGATTCCCAGTTACTACTTCAAGCACATACACATCGACTCATAGTCATCATACACCTATAGATCATAGATTCTTTCTAGTTCACACAATTTTCGACTACCGGAGTATAAGTAAAACCACTATTACCCAGTAACACTAATTAAGTAGAACAGTTATTAAACATATGCACCGAAGAGATTATTAACCGACATATTTCTTATATAACAGATAGTGATGTCTAAGTATCAGAAATATATTACTGCTAAGAATTCCTGAAATAATCTTGTTTTTTTAGAAAGAAAATACGACATACTGTGACGGAAATATTAATTAGATTAAGTTAGTATTAGTCATTAGTTAGTTAAACTGAAAACCCATCACTTCACTAAATACTAATGACTTATTGTATCATCACGTTTAGTTATTCCTTATTACTATGGGATGCAAACAACAAAGAGGAAGTATAAACGGTAGCATATTGAACCTAAATATCTAAATAAGCTACGCTGCATGTTTAAAATTAGGCCCAAGGCTGAGTAAGTATTCAACAGCAACATATGTGACGAAATATAGTGGAACAAGTATGAATCACCAGACGTATTCTTCACAAGTATCTAAGCCAATCGTAGTGGCATGGCGCAATGAGAGATCTGTTCTACCCATCATTGAATACTACATGTAATAATACAGCAAAACAAATCAGCATAATGAAAGATAAGAATATTCAATGGCGGCCAATTCACTTTACATACTAAACAATGAAATAGTGCCACCTAACAGATTTATAAAGAACTGCTGTACTACAGTATTCATAAGTTTTGTTGTCACAAAACTACGTATAAGCCACGAAAATGACGAGTAAAGCCGCTAGACGCTTCGCGAAACGTCCCAGCTCCTGGTTTCTACAAGATCCCTACAACTTGTAGAAGCACTTTGGTCTACTTCGAGCAATTACGAGTTTGACGATAAACGAAAGTTGTTACGTAATGAAACTGTGAAAAGTTCGAGTAAAGACTGAGAAGCTTGGCGATGGGAACGTGCTATCGAGCCGGGAGCAACAATTGCACCTGGTAGTTGCCGGAAGCTCTTCCAACTCATCCAAGTCATTGGCAACAAGAGGTCTGATGTGAGTGAAGCAATCTGTGTAGCTAACGGAATGCCGACCAATGAAATCTACTGACATCTTGGATAATCAAAATCCCTGTCCTACATGACCGGTGATGACCGATCCACCAAACGAGGAGGAAGTCCACAAGGATCTCCAATCCTCGAAGCGATGCAAATTGCCTGATGGCTTACCTCCGGCTCTTTCTAAAGATGGTGGCGACCTTCTGGATAAGGAACTGAGTTGTTCACAAATGTATGGGAATAAGAGAGTGTTCCAACATAGTGGAATGAGTCGATAGTTGTCCCTATCTTTAAAAAGGGTTCACGTCACTTATGCGACAACTATCAGGTGATGAGTCTATAGTGAAAGCAAACCCAGGTGGGGATAACCAACTTATTCTTTGATACAAATTGCAGAGTTCTTTGGTAAAGTGTGAAAACCATACATTAAATACTTCATTTGCAAATCTTCCATCAACTGTCCTTTACATCCTTCATAATTCTTCCAATTCTCAATTCTTTTATGTTTCTCTTTCCGTTTTCTTCAGTTCGATCTCAACTGCTTCATCCACTTTATTATTATTATTGCTTCACACACCAATCTCTATTTACTTGTTTTATTTTATTACACTTGCTTTTTTCCATCTCTTCACAACCTTATTTTTGTGCGGTAAGTAAATATTTTGGTGCCCCCTTCCTTGTGCATATGTTTATGTTTAAGTGAATAAATTTATACATAAATTTTGATCGTTCAACAGATAACACTGTATCTCTAGTATGTAAACAAACTACGACAGAATTATATTGTCATGCATTCCGTAGTTACTTAAAAAGGGGTGTATTGGGACATGTCAAAAAATGAGATGACGTCTTTATCTTAGCTATGCCAGTCGGTAATGATCTAAATACATTGAGGGATGGAATTAGGCACGAGAAAAACCTTACCTGTAACTTTCTAGACTTGTCCACATGAATTTGGTTGTCTAAAACGGCATTAACAGCCTTCTTACTCCCCACGAATAAAGCTCTTTCAACTCGCAAACGGTGGGCTAATTCCATTACTTTATCTTTCCATATAAGAAAACTCTCTTGATGATTGGAAACAGAAGAGGATGTATTTATGGAGCCATTTGCTTTAGTTGTATCAGATGTATTTTCCGAACGCGATCCAAGGGACGAGGTATCTGCCTGGATGAAAAGTGAAAACCAATAGGTCACATATATTTGCGGTGACAACATAAATAGTCAACGATGATAGCACAGGATAAAGTAATGGTGAATCGCTAAGACTAAAATTTGATAAATTTACTTTAAAACTTTACAATAGGATATAGAATAAAATGCTAGATTCGAAATAAATAACTTATATGTCCCATGACTACCAAAACCATGAAAATATGTGCACAGAATTCAAACTAGCTTAAAACTGAAATATATTCAATCCGAAGACCAATAAGAAAAGTGTTTTACATTCCCCTTAAAACCAGATATAATGTAAAACATTCTTTACATGAGTTAGGGAATCTCATCAAACTACGAGTGTATACTGTTAAACACCACTGACTCATTATAACTTTTCGAATAACTTAACTAAGATTATTTTTTATATTCGGAAATGCTCATAGCAATTGAGTCTAACACTGGTTGGGGTTAGTATAAAGATCAAGTTCAGTAAACCAAATACATCCTGTCAACCATCACAGTACAAGTTTGAACAGCACTATCATTAAATAGATCTAACTAGCCAACCAGAAGTTCAGTGTCTCATACTGAATATGAAGTATAGTTTAGCATATGACTATATACACGTTTACGGAGGCACACATATTCAAATCTTATTTCTGCAGCTGATGAAATAGAAAGTGGCGGTCAACATAAGAGCTATTTTCAGAACTGTAAGAAAATGGGTGGCAACAAAGACTCAAAAACTAGGACATTTTTGGAATCGTAATTGGACAACTACCTTGATTTGATAAGCCCGATTAAAAGGTTTTATAGTAATCACATAATAATCTGAAAACAAGTCGCTCAAACCTGCGAACCAAATACGAACATCAATAGATAACCACTAGCTGTTCTGTTCAGTTGTGTCCTTAAATGATTGAATTTAGTAAAAAGTCTCGAGATTCACGGAACCTAGCACAGTACTATGGCCATAACTGTCATGCCGGAATTCTCCCAATAAAACTAAGTGTCAAGTGTAAACAACATGGTATGAAACTAGAAACATGTTCACAAAGACACTAGAAGTCATACAGGTCAACTACGGAGTTCATATATGAAAGGCTTATAAAAAATACCATCATGTTATAACAACGTTAGACCGAATGCCACCTGGACTGGGCAATAAATATATTAACTATCAGTGGTATAACTGACGCGAGTTGAAAATTGTATGAACTACAAACTATACTAACTCAGACTATTAAAGAGCCGACAGATGAACCTATATTATATCATTTGCATTTGAGTAAACTAAATATAAAGGATTCCTATTCAAGATGCATGATACATGAACGAAATATTATGAACTGTTGAAAGGCATATTAATCGACAAGTCGGTGGCATAAAAGCATATTATTTACTATTCTGTAATGCCTTAAAATAAATTATTACATATCATGACAGCAGTTATTTACCTGGCAGAAACCTTCATTCATTTGCTTGACGCGAATCATCTGATTTCGAATAAATCCGATTTTATTATTAGCATTTTCATACTGCTTCCTAGCTTCCTCGAGAAAATGACGAGGGCCCGATTTGTACGTTTGGATCAGACGCTCTGCCCCACTGCGAACCTAAAGTACACCAGAAATCAAAATGAAATCAAATATTAATACCTGCAGCTCTATATCCAACGCTTTCTGTAGCTCTGTGAGGCGTTGTTCAATACTGTCACTACGGTTGGCTGACTTTATCACAGCACTTTGTTGGTCTGCAAACTATATTACAAATAACAATAACTACCGAAACTGGGTTGACAATGCTTTAGTAAAAGAAGTGATGTTTCCAAATCACAGATATCCTCCGCAAGATCTTGAACATCACTGTTAATACTTTTAATAACCGCTGATGTAGTGACTCGACTAGATTTCCGATCCAGTGTATGGCCTTCTTTGGACCCAGTAAAATTGGGTCCGCTCGTGAAGTCATTGCTTGAAGGCATGACAGCAGATACACTCTTTCCTGCAGCATCTCGGAGCTTTTGAACTCCAGCTTTCAATTTGTATAATTTCTGCAAATCCGAACGCTTGGAATCAAGAACATTCTTTAGTTCTTCAATGATGGAGTGATAAGGCAATTGTGGACTGATTTTGTAATGAGCAGCCAGCTCACGAGCATACTCTTCATGCTCCTGAGAAAAGATATAAGCCAAAATGGAAGAATTACCATGATGAGGTTTAGTCTTTATACTTGACCGTCTAGAAACGTTTTGTTGTTTAGAATGTTGACAAATGAATGTACATATAGAACTCGAGAACCCCACAAAGCGTGAACACAATTTAAATATTGCGATTGTCGCCTAGTACGTATTGAGCGCTGAAAGAGAAAAAACTTCTTTACCTTAGAATAGAGAAAAATGTATACTGCTTCATTATAAAGTAAAGGTTGAAATTTTCCTAGTTGTTAAAATTTTTATTTTCAATGTTAACTATTTTCTGACAAATGTTCAGTGGCAAGCAACTCCCCGAAATTATTAAATATCCAGCACTGTCTTTGTTGGTTTCAGTGAACACGGCTACTTGAATAAGCTTGATCAAGCACTGTAGCTAGATCGCCTCACAACCTAATTGAAAAGGCTTTTAGAAAGCAAATTTGAAAGTCTCAAGCTCTTGTACCTTTGTGTTCAGTCCAATATACTATTTCGCCTCACTGTCATCAATGTCTTCTCTTCGGGTCTTTGGGTCGGTTCATTAGGATGTAACTGGTTAGTAATAATGTTATGACACCTTACCCACTGCATCTATATTCACAGATCCTTTGCTTGATGTCCTTAGGATCATTCTGAGTTTGTACTTTGTCTATGACTATATTTCTCCCTATTCAATGTCACAATGTCGTTGAGACTCCTGCTAAACCAGTAGGCCATATCTTTGTACCTTTGATGATGAAATTCTCTAATCGTAACGTTTATTTGGGGCAGCTTTCCTAAAAACAGTACCTCTGCTCGCCAAATAAGTTGTTAAATAACGTGAAATTTAGAAATGGATTGAGGTAACTTCAGAAAACTCACTGGGTACCCTAACTTAGCATCTAGTGTTACTTCAGAAACCTACTTCACTAACACGCTTTGTAGGTTATAACAAGTGTAAATGGTCTTCACCTTGTTGATACTGAATTAGAATCTGAAATCTTCCCTGAAATCTTGATCAACTACCCTAAAGGAAAATGACATACTGATCTGAAGACGTATCTGCCCAACCCCATACGCCAAATTTTTGTTCTCCTAGATATATTGGTAAATATCATGGGCCTGCATAATGTAACCCTACAACTTACTTTTCTGCCGAAGGAAATGAAGATTACCAAGGAGAAACATTCAAAACGAATATTTATAGATATTCGAACGTATGGTATGACAAAATTTAGACTGCGAGTATACAGAAGACATTATTTGTGTGGATAATTCTGTATTGTCATAATCTCAATTTGTCTAACTTTCAAATAATGTAAGTTTTTACTTTGCACGTGTCGGGAATGAAGTCAAACACTTTGAATTTATTGCATGTAATTTGCGGTCAGTTTCTGCCCAAGAATCTTTGTTAAGCTGTTAGTAACTAGCGGCAAGCGATAATTGCACTTAGTTTTGTACTGAACCAAAGTCACGTTCATTCTAGTGGGAGAGTAGTGTGATGGCAATGGTTCTCAACCACATAGTGCTTGAGGTCAAACGTACAATAACTGGGAAGACCTGTATTAAACATTTAAGATAAAGAGAAGGTCAAATATGTGGAACACAGGAATACAGATAGGATACAGCATGATTCAGGTATGCAGGTGTGGTTGTAAAAACTTAAGTCGATTGATATAAAATAGACTGAAAACATATTAGTAGTGCCAAAAAGTTAAAGCTCAAGTACTTGTTCACCCACATATTTTGTGTAAGCATCATATTTCCTAATACTTTGTACTGGATATTGAAAGCTTAGTGAGTTTGAAACAGGGAACCTTGCACTTCAAAGCTGATGTACAATTTTGGAATTAGGTCTATACAAATAACGAAGTAGACCATAAATTTACAAGCTTAGTTTTGGGTATAAACATTAATTACTGTTTTACATATCTTTTCGCTTTGGCGTGAACGTAAACATCATTATATTCAACACAAGTTTTAGATATATATTTTCATACATATCTGTTTGTTGCGTATTACTCGTGTTGAAATCATTACCTCACCCCGTTTATATTATATTAAACTATTGGTTATAGACCACATGTCAGATTTAGTTTGGAGTGAAAGTGGTTTGGTCAGTATTCAATATTTTCCTTAAACTTCATATAAAGTTCGCCCCGATAACCGTCACTAGGTAATGCTTCAACGGTGTATTAATCAGAAGGCGAATACGATATGTTGATTATATTTATTATTACACCACACACATATCACCAAGATTACAGGTACGTTAAGCAAGCATGAAAGAATAGTGCCGAAAAGCAAGCGGGCAAGTGAGGGAGCGTGCGAGTCAAATGAGCAAGCAAGCAAGCGAACATGATTAAAACGTACATATATATACGTAATTAGATGAATGAATCATCGAATCAATTGACTAATAGTAGAGCTAGCAGAATGAATATATGCGTGGGCAGTAAGCAGTGCTCAAGCATACATATTCGTACAGGTGCAACAATAATAAAGGTACAGTGGTAGAGATAAGTTGTTATTGTACGGATGACTCTGTCAGTTAATTAAGTTAACAAGAGGGCTCAACCAGATTAAACGTGAACAAACTCAACTGTACGTGAGCTTCTATAAAAGCCAAGAAGACGATTGTAACATGTCTCTAGTAGAGGTAGACCCTCTTATTACTAAGACGTCTAGCTCCCAGTATTCTATGATAGTGACCTCGAGTTACAGTTTGTTCAACTATTGTATCAGTTCATTAGGAAAAATACAGCATCTTAGGAAATGAGCTGTCGAGATTTATACTCTGTCCCTCTTTCCTCAGTTTGTAAAGAATTTCGTGACCTAAATTTGAGTCCCTCAACATCACGACCATCCGTCAGTTTAAGTCGCAAGACAATTAACCGTCTATCCTTGTCAGATCGTTGAAGAATCCCAAGGCTCTTTCGAGGCGAACTATTAGGTGATAGATCACTATTACAGTGCATACGTCACCTCCAAGCCTTAGTAAGTGGCAACGCCATATATAAACAAACACCGAAGCAAGTACGTTTAAGAGCTCTCCCATGCTACATCCAACACTGTTCAGCCGTTCAAAACCCGGACACCTCTTTGCCGAACTTAGCAAGTGTTGAAGATAGAATGATGGAGGGAGGTCTTCCAAATAGGTTACGTACGATGCATTATTATTATTATTATTCACAAACATCTTATGGCTACATAAGTGTTGCGAAGAAACCATTTCGGGTTTTTCCAAAAAATGCAATATTACACAATTTTCAATAATGTTAGCATTATACTTGCCATATTTAAAAAAAGAATTTAGAGTAATAATAGTAGAATATTAATAATAATAAATCGGTTCTGTGTAATTGAGAAGAATATTGAATTGAGTTTAAAGAAGGGGATGGAGAAAATAAGGGAATAGAAATAAAGGAGACGTGAAATACGCAAATAGTTTGATTGGCGTGTTTATGAACATAGAACAAGAACAAACGACTATGTATATATCGTCAAATTAGTAACAAAAATTAATTAAGAAAAGACAACTTATTATTATAGTAAGATATGACGCCAGAATAAATGTTTGTGCAGTCATAGTTTGGAGTGATGCGATGAAAGTCTCAATTGAGTGAAAAGGATAATGAAATATCAATATGAGTCATATATGCATAGTGAAGATAAAACGGGTCTGAGAAGTTAATTTAAGTGCAACACAAGTTATTGTCTTAATTGCAAACTTCGTAATCTTAATATTTATATAGAGGGAAAGAAGAGAGAAAAGAAGTGAACACCTAGTGAAAAGTTTCAACCATGATAAGGATAATAATTGCGTAATAAATATCAACCTCAGAAGGAAACCAACAATTTAGAAAAATAAAATAAAAATCCTTTATTGCACTCGGATAAATACCATGTAGATTTATGTAATAATATACAGAGCGAAACCGGATATTAGTATAAACATATGTGCAATAATAATTAAGAATGATGCTATGAAAGTCACAATTAATTTCAAAGGACAGTCAGGAATTAAATATGTTAGGAAGGATAAGAAGGTATAAAAGGAATACCTAATGATATTATTAACAGTAATAATTATAGATACGAACATAAGCAGACTTCATATATTAAGATAAATAGAAATAAAATAGACGTGAAGAGATTTAAAGGTTTTATTTTGCTTTTCAGGCAATTAAATGGATGACGGACCTTGTTTGTATAAATCCTTGTTGAATACATTGATATTCAATAGGTGAAATAATCCACTTTCGGAAAGAAACTCATCAAGGAGACTTCTGAACCGGGTTGTAGTTTCACTGCAACGGAGGTTCACTGGCAGTCTGTTCCACATGGTTGAGTAGCGAATAAGAAAAAAATTCTGACGTAAGTTTGTGTGGGTTCTTGGAATCGCTAGAATATTCTACTTATTGCGTAGATTGTGGGATGATATCATAGGGTATGAAGGGGTGGATACCGAAGAGTAGGAAATATCGTTAATAAGCCAGTAGACAAAGACAACACTGAATTTGATACGTCTGATCCAAAGAGGTTCTAAGTTGAGTTGTTGACATCTTTGGTGATAGTCTTTGTTATCGGAATACCCCAGAACAGCTTTGGTGAACTTTCTTTGAACACCTTCAATTTTAATCAGGTCATTATGTCTGCAATTACTGTCAACTCAAATACCATATTCAGTAATGGACAAGATACATTTTCTGTATAGTAACAATCTCGATTCGATATTATTGAAGTTTATCATTATGAATCCGATGAGCTTTCTAGCTTTGGATGCTCGAGACGCATTGTGCTCAGAAAAGTTCAGATTGTTGCTATATCTTAAACCCAGGTCACGAACAGTGTTGAGAGGTTTGAGAGTATGTGTGTGTACAGTCAGATTTAAGTTAAGGCAGCGACCAATGTGAATAAATCCACTTTTGTCAACATTACGTGGCATATTCCACGAAACAGTCCATTCGTACAACTTGTTTATTTCCTCCTGAATTACCGCTGAAATATAGCTTTCTTTCGTAGGAGAAGTGAATGAATATACTACTTTCAGGTCATCAGCAGAAAGGAAAGGCTTACCATACTGAAAGAGGGAACACACGTCATTGATAAAAAGGAGAAAGAGTAATGGACCAACCACACTTCCTTGTATAACACCACTGGTTGCGTTCACAGGTTTAGAGCAGCAAGATCCAAAGCGAACG